GAGGCAGGGAACTCAGTTTGGAGGCTGATGTAGTTAAGATGAGAGGCACTAAGGGCCTAGCCTAAACTAGGACAGTAATTGTAGGGATGTAGAGGAAGAGGTGGATTCAGCAAATATTTAGGTTTGTGAAGAAGTGGTAGGTAGGGAAGTATGGAAATACAGAGAGGAATCTAGATGACTCTTAGGTTTCCCTGCTTCTACTCTTGTAGTCTTTTTTCTAGCCTGTTTCCCATACCAGATACTTGACCGTGTTTTCCTAAACTTCTTTTGCCCAGTCTTTCCATTATTACTTCCCCTTTTCCATGTTAACTCTATTTCAGCTTAATCAAAACTATGCCAACATTTACTGAGCATCTGCTATGTGCCTGGCACTGTTAGGTATCAGGGATATGAAATAAGTGAGGCACAGACACCACTTTTGAGGTTCTCAGTAGTTCCCCAAGTGTAACATGCTCTCATGCCTCCTTGCTTGCTTGATAGGACAGGCTTTGTGATTAGACAGTCCTGGGTTGATCCCTGCCTTATTAGTGGAGTGACTTTGGGTAAGTTACTTTAACACTCTCTGAACTTCAATTTCCTCATTGGTAAAATGAGTATAAAAATGCCTACCTGTTGAGAAGTAAACAAGAAAAATGTTTATAAAATATATAGTACTCAATAAATAGTACTTACTATTTTTTCTTCTTTCTTTAACAGATTTATCATAGAATTCCCAAATCAGATCCATCTTCTAATAAAACAAGGCAGATCATCTCCACCATCAGGACACAGAATCTTCCCACTTGTCAGCTGATCTCCCGAAGCCACTACTCTCCAATTTACCTGTCATTTGTCATGCTGTTGGCTGCCCTGAGCTGGCAGTATCTGAGCACCCTATCCCAGGTTACAGAAGACTATGTTCAGACTGGAGAACATTGATTTGGAATTTGTTTTGGAGGCTAAAGTTCACCATGAAACAGATTTACCTTTTCTTCAAGGATGGATATTGGCTTCTTTTTTTTCCCTCCTGTTTTAATCACTGAAAGAACTTTGTGTGGCTTAGACCTTTAGAAACTGAAATGCAGTTGAAAAGAATATAAAAATAAAAAAGAAGGATACATTGCCCTCAGCAACTTGGTACTTCTGGATAGTGGTAACCTTTGCTTATTAGCTTGTGGCTGATGGCAGAACGTTCATTGCTGCAGTTTAGGGTAATATGGTTGCAGTGAGACTATCAAGGTATTTTATTTAGTGTGAATCCTGGTAAATGAATAATTTCTTTTATAAGGATTGGCACAAAGCTGGTTCCTGTGAGGCGGAGGTTAAAGATGTCCCAAGTATCCAACTTTTCCAGACTGCTGTAGCACTCCATCATCTCTCACATCAACTGCTCCCCATCCCCTAAGTAATTCTGTAATTCACTGCTATGTCTCACAGAATTTGTGAACCGTACTAACAGTTTAATGGTTTATTAGGGAAGTAACAGGGTACAACTTGGAATTGGGATCAGCTTGGTAGTAACAGGAACAATTCAGGACACAGTTTCTCAATCAGGACAGCTTCTGTGGGTCAGCAACACTACCATAGCTGTCTCTCATGTCTTTCGTGTTACAGCCCCTGTCTTTCTCTCCTGGTCTCCCTTTAAGCTTAGTGGGATGGCAAAACTGACCCAATTGCCTTGTCAGGGTTCCCTACACTTTATTTGCATGCTCCCACCCCCTCAAGGGTGCCATGCACCTTATTTACATTATTAGCAAGCTGTCCAATCCCTTTGGTGGGCCACAAGCACCTCATTGGCATAGTCCCACCCAGCCATTTGGTGGGAGTTAAAAACCATGGTGAGAAAGGCCATATAAAAGCGATCCATCACACTACACCTGGCTAGAATTTAAACATTTAATTAGAAGCAAACTTTGAATTCCACCACTTATCTGTCAGTTTGTCATACCATGGAGACTTCATCTCATAATGCTTTGGACATATTATCAGAAGGGACCAGACCCTGGAGAAGGACATCATGCTTGGTAAAATACAGGGTCAGCGAAAGAGGAAGACCCTCAATGAGATGGATTGACACATTGGGCTCAAACAGCAACGATTGTGAGGATGGTGCAGGACTGGGCAGTGTTTTGTTCTGCTATGAGTCAGAACCGACTCAATGGCACCTAGCAGCAGCAGCCTTTGAATACCTATCCTACTGGACGATGAAGTGAATTTTCTTTGGTTCCTATTTTTCTCATCACTCATTTCTTTTCACTGATTTGAATGTAGTAGATACGAATCTGTATATTTCCATGTTTTTTTAAGAATGCAGACTGTTTTCTGCACATGAAGGCTAAATTCTGGGTGTCCTGGCATTATACACTCTCTTAAAGGGAGTTTAGCTTTCAGAGAACAGCAGGATTGCCCTTGGCCCCATTGGAGAAGATGACCTCCAGTAAAGGCTGAAGTTTTCAAAGAGATTTTCATAATAAAAAAGTTAATTGCTCTGCATTTGTGCGGTGCAGTTCACTTTAAAACCAGGATGACATGAGACGAACTCAATAATGGAGTTAGTGATTGAGGAAGGGGTGGTAGTTTGCGCCTTGACGCCTGCCAAAGGAGCAGCACCAAGGAGCCCAGCTGACTGGCTGCCGCGTTACTGTGCCTGATGGGAAATGATGCTGCAGCACTTCCTCCACCTGCTATAGCTTATAGCCCTCATCAACGCTGCCATACTACCCTAGCTTTTGCCTAATTCTCCTAGCTCAGCTGTCTCCTACAACCATGCTTTCAGCTTTTTACCCCACCACAGCTGAGGTCTGATATATTCTCACCAATAAGTAGCTCAATAGATTCTCAGCTTGGGCAAGGGGAGAGATGGTCCCTTGTAAGGGGGATGTTTGAAAAAGTCCCTCAGGTTGAGAATCACTGTCTTTGGGCATTAAATACTTAAATGGTTTCTAGAAAGTCCTTTAATGCTTTAGGTATGTATTTATGTATTGATATACATGTTCTACTCTTGCTGCAGCCCTTTGTATATGCTGAATCCTGAGTTTTTTTGGCATGCAATGTTGGACTTGCATTGTTAGACATTTTGTTAGCTGCCATTGAGTCGGCCCCGACTCATGGCAACCCCATGCATAATGGAACAAAATGCTGCCGGGCCTGTCTTAGTCTGGAATTTCTGTGAAACCTCTGCAGCATCATAGTAGCATGCAAGCCTCCACTAACAGAGATGGGTGGTGGCTGCACATGAGGTGCACTGACCGAGAATAGAACCTGGGTCTCCCACCTGGAGGGCAGGAATTCTATTACTGAGCCACACAGATTTTCCTTTTGTGACCCGATACCATTTGAGACAATTGCCTTAGTTTGAGTCCATAGGAGACTTGGCTCATTTGAGAGTCAGTCCTGGGCAAACTTGTCAACAGTATTTTTCAAAGTAATTTAAGCATCAAAACATGGTTTGAGATTTCAAGGTAGGGTGTTAGAATATTTGTGTTCAAATTTAAGGGTTAGTGGTGCTAAAGTTCACTTAGAATGCAATACAACATAGTGGCGAGAGCCTTGGTCTGGGTTGGATGTATTTGGGGTGGGGGTGGGGGGAGGGAGCTTTCTCCCAATCAGTCATTACCTGTGGGACTTTCTGAGCTTGTTTGGATTAGGTGATCGCTTAGGTCCATTCCAGTATAAAGCTGTGTTTAAGTGTTCACTGTTACTGACTTATGCAAAGGTTTTACCTTTTGTTCTCTTAAACTGTTTGAAAGGTTGCTTTCCTGTATCCTCCTCTACCAGGGTTGCCAGATAACATACAGGATGTGCAGTTAAATTTGAATTTTAGATAAATAACAGATTTTGAAGTATAAGTATGTCCCAAATGGAGCCCTGGTAGCGCAATGGTTAAGAGCTACGGCTGCTAACTAAAAGGTCGGCAGTTCCAATCCACCAGCAGCTCCTTGGAAATCCTATGGGCAGTTCTACTGTCCTATGGGGGGGGGGGTGGTCACTGAATTGGAATTGACTTGACAGCAATGTGTTAAGTCCCAAATATTGCACAGGGCATAGTCGTACTAAGATTACTTATCTGAAATTTAACTGGGCATCCTGTATTATTGACTAAATCTTGCAAGTCTACCCTCTACCCCACTCTGTAGCATTTCTTGCATAGTCTATTTGATTTCTACTTATAGTGGAGTGTTTTAAGTTTTCCTCAGAGGAGTGTCTGACCCAGCTGAAATCTGGGAAGAAGAGTGTGATCTCCATTTCCACATTTTGGGGGCTCCTAGAGACTAGTTGGAACTTGCACACGTAGCACACACTTTTTCCTTTGAGTAAGGGTCTGGAGCAACTAGGAACGTGAGAGTTCAGGGGCCATAAGTTCAGTCAAACTTAAGCTTGTCTATGTCACCTGGCCCCATACCACCCTCTCTTGTCTATGTCACCTGGAGGGTTAATAATAAATGGTAAATTTGAATTTTATTAAAGCACTAAGATCTGTCCCAATCATAAACATTGCAAGATGATTTTTCTAACAAAGTCTCCTTAAAACAAACGCGAAGATGCCCAACAATTCATTTTGGTATTTTGGCAAATCTCTGCCGGCTCTGGGGGTGAGGACGGAATTTCAGGTGGGCACATGATAGAGATGGGGGAAGGTAGAATAGAAATGGAATTATTCAGCTCAGTGTTGGGAGCAAGTAGAACTATGTCAGAATTTCATTGAGGTTAGGGATTTATTCTGGTTGAAAATTATAAGAATAAAGTGGTTATGAACTTGCAGCTTTGGTAACTGCTATGTCTTTCCTAAGTACTAGGGTGAGTTTCAAGGAGCCCTGGTGGCACAGTGATTAAAGTGCTTGACTGCTAACTGAAGTGTTGGTAGTTCAAACCTACCAACTGCTCCACGGGAGAAAGATGCGGCAGTCTGTATCCATACAGATTACAGCCCTGGAAACCTATGGGGCAGTTCCACTCTGTCCTACAGGGTTGCCGAGTTGCAATCAACTCAATGGCAACAGGTTTGGTCTTTTTTTTTTTTTTTAATGATGTTACACAAATTTTTCCTACAAACGTTCACCAGGTTTTTAGAGCTTATCTGAAGCTTCTGATTCCTGACCTGTGAGTCACATATGAAGCCAAACTTTTGCTTCCGTGAAGAGCTAGCCCAACTCTGGGCATATCTCTGTTAGGCCAGTGGAATGAGAGATTCTTCTAGTTTCCTCCATCTCCTCAAGTTATAACTGGTATACTCCATTACTTAAAATTCCTAACTAGGGCTATGCAAAGTAATAGTTTTTAACCAGCAATGTGAGTCAAAGTGAAATAAGGAACTCTCAAAATACTGTATACAGGCTATGGCTCCACTCCTGTACCAACATTTGAGAGCACCCAGAGAAATCTGATCTTCTAGTAGAATGACATCTTGAATATGTGATGATGATATTGTAAGCAAATCCTCAGGTGAATTGCTACTGATTTGTGGATGGTAAGTAAAAAACCAGCACAACTATGTTCTTATCTCTTTAAATCAAGCAGGGGCAGAACTCATCAAGGCTTGGGCACAGTTCAAAGGATGGATTTATAGAGAAGGGTTGATGAAAATAAGGGGACTAAGAGAAGAGCCATGGTTTGAAAATATGGTTGGGGCAGAGAGAAGTTAAAATTAGGTATTTACATTGTTCCACTCAACTGAGGCAAGATGTCCCCAGGAGTAGTTGAAAGAGTCCCCAGATCTAGGAGAACATGCTTCCTTCTTGGGGAGAAGGACAGACAGCAGCTATGATTGTACAGGCAGTGACAAATGATCTTTCGGATACTACCAGAAAGCAAATTTCAAGTTGAAGGAGAAATCTTTTATTGGCAGTTATTCTGTTCCTTGTTAAACTGATAGGGTAAGCAGTGATTTAAAAAAAAAAGAAAAAAGTGAACGCTGGTTTCTCCCAAACTAGTTTCACCATGGTATTAGAGGTGGGTAGGTCAGTCAGTCAAATCATGACCACCCAGTTTTAAGCCACACCATTGGGAAACAGTCTATAAAACTAGCACTCCTCTTCTTAGAACTGTTCATTCACATGATCAGTTGAGGTGCATTAAAAAAAAAATTTCTATTAAAAAAGAATCATGCCACAGAAAAGACCAGAGAAAGTCTGCAATATTGCAAAGCTCAGTACATACAGGGGCCCTGGGAGAATGTGGCTTTCTTCAAATGGCTGCCCCCACCACCTCTCCTCTCAACCTATTCTAGAAACATACTTGCTTAAAGGTACGGCTTACGTGTGGAAATTTAAATCTTGTTAGGAATTGCACTTTCCATTCCTTTTAAACTCTTTTAGGTCCTCACTGTCTTGCTTCCTGGAGATGCACTGGTGGGGAGGGTGTGGAGGGTCACTGCAGCAGGAGTTGGAGCAGCAGGCACTACCTACAGTACTAGTCTATGGGGAAAGGGCTCACTTTGCTTTCAGCAGTGGTTTACATGGTCTGTTTGCATTGTGAGGATCAGTCTACTGAACAGGCTGGGAGGTAGCCAGGATTTGGATTTGTCTTCCATGGGAAGACAGCTCTGTCTACTCCAGAAAAGATCAGATCTGATAGTAGACACAAGGTTTGGTCCAATCCAGTCTGTCAGGCCCTGAAGCATACCAGCCACTGTCTAAAACCTCTTATATCTTATCTGAACTCAAATAATAAAAGACATTCCCACTCCCGTGCCTCCCATCCCCAGCCCAAATGGCTATATTTAGGGGGAAACTCCCCCAGGGCTGGTTGGATAGGGTCACAGTTGATTAGATCTTTTTCCAGTATTGGTCAGTGCGTGGGATTCCAGCCACGATTTCTGATTCGATTCCACAGTGATCCTGTCCTCTGAGGATTTTAAAGAAGCCTGGAAAAGAAAAAAAGGTGCTTTTAAAGTGTGCCTTGGGTTTTGACTTTTGTCAACATATTGACTCATCTGTAAGAGACCTAGGGGAGTAAGTACCAATCCCAGCCCCAAGGAGTTCTATCAGCTTCTCCTATTCACTCACTAAGTCAGCCCTCAGCAAAATGGCAAGCAGTCACATGGATACCATTTCCATTCTATCCCAAGTCATACTCCATGGCAGTAGTCTCATCTGGTGTGGATGCTGAATTGTAGTAGACAAACTATGTGAGGTTGTGTCCTGGCCCCATACCACCCTCTCTCAGGACCAGAGACTGCCCTTTTGGCAAAGGGAAACCCCAGCTTACTATCACTTGGGAGGTCACAGCTAAGCCATAGGCCCACGGATTGTAGCTATGCAGCGGGTAGGGTGGGGAAGGCCAAGATGGCCGCTATGTTCTGGCTCATAAAAAGCTAGAAACGGTTAGGAAATCTTAATGTATTCTTAGCAGGAAGGGAGCTTCCACTCACCATTGTCACCCCAGTCAGTGTTCCAGGAGTTGGCAGCCAACCAGTAGGGGGTGCCATTCTCAACTCCCCAGCCCAGGATGCGGATGGCATGGCCTCCCACCTCCTCTCCAGTCACATGCTGGTACACTCCTGAGAAAGGAAAAACTGGATTCAGGTTGAGCCAGGGCAACTGCCTATCTCCTACAGCATCATCCAACTCAACCGTCCACCCTTCAGTTAGGAGAAACAGGTTCCAGAAGGGACCAATAGGCCTGGTATGTGAAAAGCACTAGACAGTTGCTTTCAAACTAGGTCCTATAGCACCCTGGGGTTCCATGAGAAGGCTCCAGGACTTCTCACAAACATTAGATCCATATTTCTATTATTTAAATATATTTTTAAAAGTCCAGGACACCCAAATGTGTTAAGTATTAAAAGGGAGTCCAATAAAATGAGTGTTCACTAGCTGACTTTAAAAACAAATTTATAAATTCTAATTTAAGAAATAAATTTAATATTAATAAACTGTCAATTAGCTGTTTTATATACTGGGATTCCATGTAAGATTTTATTTGTCAAAAGCGTTCGGTGGCTTAAAAAGTTTTTTAACTGCTGCTCCAGGGAACACACTGGAGAAATGAATTAAGTTAGCGGCAGCCAATATTAGTTGATGGGGTAAAGAGACTGGCTAATGTGCTCAGAGGGCTGGTTAACCTGGCTGTCGCCTGGCTGATGTATCACTTTAAGAACTGTCATCTTTATAATGTTTTTTTCTTCCTTTGTCCAATCCTTGTTTTATAAGAGTTGAGAGCTTTAGATTTTTCAATCTAGCAGAATGTAAATGAGATAAAATCAGTCAGCAAAGACAGTTCATATGAAATAAGGGATTCAGATCTACTCTGTCCTATAGGGTTGCTATGAGTCAGAATCGACTTAATGGCCATAGGTTTGGTTTGTTTTTTTGCAGACAGCTCTACAGAAGCCCTAGTGGGCATAATGGTTAAACAGCTGGCTGCTAACCAAAATGTTGGCAGTTCAAACCCACCCAGTAGTTCATGGGAGAAAGACCTGGAGATCTGCTCCTGTAAAGATTACAGCCTAGAGTTCTACTCTGTCATATGGGGTCACCTGAGTTGAAATTGACTTGACAGCACCTAACAACAAGACAGCTCTAGGGGACAGGGACTGTACAATTTCCTTGGTTTGAATCCCTACAGTATCACACAACCAGGTTCTCCATGTTTATTCATCTGCTATGTGTTAGGCATGATGCTAGGCTGTCAAAGACAAAGATGAATAAAGACACATCAAATCTACAGGTATAATGTAAACACTCTGATAAAGGAGGCAGGGGCAGGAGTGACCAAATGCCAGGGAGGTCAGAAAAGGCTCCACAGAGAAGATATTTGAGCTGGGTTTTAAGGGATGAGTAGGACTTGGCCAAGTAGAAAAAGTGTTGGAGAGGGTATGTGGAATACCATGTGCAGAAGATGAAAATGAGAGAAAGAGGGCATAGCAGGTGGAAAAGTTGCTGACGGCAGTGACTATAAAGACTGTCAGGGGCCAGATGCTGACTGATGTTCAAAGGAACAATGAGACCCAGTTGAAGGGCTTTCTGAAAAAGCCCTTTCCTCCCCTTCCCCCAAAGAAAGGGCCTGATGAAGGCTCTTGTTGGCCCGCCTGCATCCATCTTGGCACCTGAGCCCAGTCCTCCCCAACAGTGCCATCAGGCATCAATACATACCAGACTTGTATACCAGGAAGTCTGTATACACAGCGAAGGCTCCTTCTACTGGACCATTTTTGTAGATCTCAGCCATGATCTCCTTCTCAGAAGAAGGGACACTGTAAGAACTATATCCTGGAAAATTAAAAAGGCCAGGTTGGGTGAGTCATGCCTCCTGTAGTTCCATCATTCACTGAGTTACTGTGGGCCTCCAGGAAAAGATGGTGCACACAAGTGGCTGTGCCCAGCCAAGGGAGACAGGGAAGGCTTCCCTGAGAACCAGTGATTGAGCTGGCTCTGGAGGATAATTAGAAGTGGGCAGCATATGCAGAAGCTCTGCAGTGGGGAGCAGAGTGAGTATGAGGACAGAGTGGTACCCTAGAAATATTCTAGGACAGATTACTCCCTTGTAAAATGAGGGGTTTGGTCCCTTCCAGCTCTGAAGTTCTGTGGTTCTAAGACAACATTCCTGAGGCTGAATTCAGAGGGGGCACAGGCCTCTGGCAAGAGAGGCATTACCCTTCCTTTATTTATTCTGGTGTTCATTAACTATAAGATTCAATTGCCTTGGTTTCTTCTTTCCTTTGGCCTAAGGAATAATGCCATCAGATTCACAGTGTACTTGGTAGCCCAGGGCCCATCTTACCATAATGCTTGTCTTCTTTGTAGGATGGGGAATAGCCAGGCTCACAGGTCTTGCTGCATTCCGGAGTCTCTTCTCCTTCTCCCTTGCATGGGGGCCGGGAGCCATTGACATGGTGCTCACATGGAGGGATGGAGTAGGGTCTGCAGCCTATTTGGGACCAAAAAGACAGCAGGCAGTCAGCCTACAGCCCCTACAGAGAGGCCCCCATAGGCCAGGCAGAAGAACTGGGGCAAGAGACAGTATGAACATTAATTATCCTTTGATCTGCAACATAGATACTTTTCTTCCACCTGTTGCTACTTCTGCTGTAGAAAGGACTGGATTGTCTTTCTACCCTATTTTAGCTCAGTATTCTTGCCCTCAACCCTCAACCTTCACTGTATAAAGCTATGTTAAAGGAAAATGAAACCATTATTACTCATTGCTTATAAAACCCATCTGGTCAGATATGGACAGAGAGCAGATACTCACCTACATGGGAGTCATAGAGGCCACCGGAAACCAGGCCTTTCTCAGTCCAGAAATTCCAAGCTCCAGCAGGAAAGCCCCCATTGCAGCTAAGAAAAGAGCCATTCATTAAATTCACAAGCTCCCCAGACCTGGTACCCATGGACCCATGGTGGCTCCAGGATCCACCACTGCCTTCAGCAACTGGTGCAATAGCACTTCCAAACCCCAATAAACCCCAATTTATCCTCCCCTGGATATTCTCTCTTCTTCCGAGGAATCAGCTACGCTCCCACCCCTGCCCACTGAGATCCTCAAGAAGACAGAAGGGCTCACATATTCATTCATGTTTACACCAAAGTAGGCTATATGTGTCCAACTTTCTAGAACCAGGTGGCACACTGGAATTCCCTGGGGAATGCTAATGATTCTGATTTAATTTGTTTGAGGGTAAAGGCCCCGAGTATCATATTTTTTTAATAATACTCGAGTATTTCTAATCTGCACCAAGACTGAGAATCACTGTTCTAAAATCAATGCCAGACATTAGCAGAGGCAGATAGATACATGAGGTGGGGATTTAGTTCTTTTTGACCAACCTGGAGACCCACCACGCTTAACTGCAGAAAAGGAAACAAGTGATTTCAGAAACCAGGCCTAGGATCAGAAATTTAATCAAATATTCTGAGACTACCTGTTTTCCCAGGACCCCACTGCCCACCCACAGCTCTGTGGGGCCAGCCTGGCTTTAGGTATCTCCAGAAAACAACAGCCACACTAGGGCCTGCTTCTAAACTCCCCAGATCTCCATGCTGTCTCAGACAAGAAAGATACATCTTCCAACTTGAAGGGTGTTTACGTTCTCAAAGGGTAAGAGTACCACTCTCCTCCCAAGGTAGCCCTCAATGTCATTTCCCACAAATTCTCCAACTGAGGAGGCCTGGGTCTAACAGCCTCCAAGTGCCATTCCTAGGGGTCTCTGGGCCTCCCTCGGTGGAAGGTGCTGTCTCAAACTCACCCGTCCCCACACTCCATGTGACAGCAGGTGAGCAAGTCCTCTGCAGACACCTCCACATTGACGTTCTCACTGGTGTGAATGCAGACCCGGTCAGAAATGGCCTCCACAGCCCCAAATGCCTGCAGGAACAACCCGACCCAGGTGAGAGGCCAACACTTCTTGACTGTGGTCCTCATGAGAAGACAGACAACACACACTCCAGCTATCACCTTGGAGGACCACAGTGGGCACCTCCAACCTTCCCAGTGATTAGTCTCTCCCAATTGAGGTTACGGTAAGGGGCTCAAGCTTAGGCAAGAGACCTATTCACCCTAAATCTCTACCTGGTTACTTGGTTCATTTCTGAAACTTGTAGGGCTTTTTTGTTTTAAAAAAAAAACATAAAAAGACAGTTTGTTGATACAGATGGAACACTTCTGCATGGAGCAGTGTAGGGCCACAGTGATGGTATTTACTGATGGACTAGGAGATGGTGTCAAACAAGAGAACTGAAAATAGCTTAATGACTAATATACATGAGGCTTACAATCTACAAGCTTCTTTTCACATCTAGTATTCCTCCTAATCCTTACAATAACTTCATGACCATAGGGCTCATGATTATTTTTACATTGATGGAAACTGAGACTCAGAAAGTTTATGTAACTTGCCTAGTCATAGTTCATCCCACCCCAAATCCCATGATTACTCCCCAGTGTTGTCCCACGAGCTGCCCTCCTCAGCTAGCAGGCCTTACCCAACAAGAGCCACAGGAACCCTGGTCTCTGATCTCTTTGATGGTTGGACAGTTTGGCCAGTTTTCCCGGGCATCAAAGTTTTCAGGCAGATCCATTTCCTTAGCAAAGTGAACTCTGGATAAAGGATGGTCATCATCACAAGCTGTCATCTTATAACTCACCTCCCCTGTCCCGGCAAAGTTCACTTAGTTTAAGGATAGCTGACTGCAGACTGGGCCACCACTGAGAAAGGAAGTGAGGCACAAGAAAGACATGCAGAAGAACAAGTCTGCAGGGATATTATTCCCCTTGGAACATAATTCTGCAGCTCAGCACAACTTATCATTTTATGTATTTCTTTCTAGACTTATTTTATGGATATTTTCCAAGAGTTTTAGCCACAGGGCACAGATAATTGTGTTTTTTTGCTTCCTTGCCTTACCCCCAATCATAAACATCTCCCCAGGTTCTTCATATAATTTTTAATGTCTTCATCATAGTGTACATAGTGGTGTGCCATAACTTAAATATTCCATTTTCACTGCTGGACGTTTCTAATACTTCCTAAGAAAGTTATATCTGCATGAAAATGTCTACTACAGAGTTTCCTATAAAAATAAAACACTAATGACAGATCATATGGCTTTTCTTCAATTTTCCAAATGGAGTCCATCCAGATCTTGCAGAGCCAGACCTAGTCTTTCATACCTGGGGCCTTTCCCACCAGGCTTCTAAAGTAACCTGAAGAAGTGTACAGAAAACACCAGCATTGAGGCTGAGCCCTGTACCTCAAGTAGTGTCTCTGCAGCTTTGGGGGAAGTGAGACCTACGAATGTCCAGGCAGGCCTTCTCTCTTTCCCACTCCCCAAACAACCTCCTGCTGCTCATGTCACAGTGACTCAGACGGAGCAGCGCATCCTCCCCAGGGAGCAGGCACTCACCTCTGGGGCAGCTTGGGTCCATTCAGCAGGGTGCCACACAGTCTCTTCACGTAGCTCATATCAACATTGTAGAAGTTGTGTCCAGCCTGAAAAAGAGCCCTGCAGCAGTTACCCACCAATAGGAGGAGGAGTTTTCCCAGGAAAGGGGTGAATGAGTGTGTACACGTTGCCCACACATAAGGACTGACTCAGTGAAGGCCAGAGGCCCTGTCCAGTTCAGCACGGCAAATGGGATAGGGCCACCCCACAGAGTAGGCCCACAGACCAGCCTAGAGCCCTTGTTGGGAGAGTTCAGCTCTCAGACCAGTGGGTGTCTTCTTTAACCTGCCACCATTTGCTAACTATAAGAGCAACCCTCCCCCAATGCTAAACACATCTTATTTCTCATTTCTTCGTCCCCACAATCCCAAGAAATGCTGGGCAGAATCAAGGAGTGCTAATATAGATAAACCATCACTCCTCACATTAGTGTGGCACTTTATAGGATCTACCAGGTTGTGAACAATTCTGAAGCTCATTTATTCCCCCGTAAACAGACAGATACATATACACACACAAAGTTGAGGCGACAGCAGTGGTGGTGGGCATGGTCCTGAGCCTCCATGACTCTGAATCAGGGCCATTTTCCAAATGTCCAGGAGGAATGTCCTGTGGGCCACAGCTGGAGCCAACTCACTCAGGAGTCAAGAGTGGACAGATCAGCCTGCAGGTAGGGCTTACACAGGGAGAAACACCCCACAACATACCTGCCATGTAGTGTTATGTTTGTTGACATGGTTGACCAGCTCATCAGACAGGGGATTGAAATACAGTCTGCTCTGGGCACTGATCAGCACCACCAGGCAGCAGAAGGTAGCTAAGAGTTGCCACATTTTGGAAGCTGGATCTTAGATTTACCTAGAAAGAAAAGGACAGAAGACATCAGGACATTTCTCCTTCACTTGGTTAAAGTGCTCAATACAAAGGCATCATCTCAGAGGCATATGCTTCTGGTGCCAGGAACAACCACATGACCCAGCAATCAGAAGACCCATATTCTCATCCAGGCTCTGTCATTTGCCCCCTTGCGCAAGTCTGTTAGCCCTCCTGTTCCTCACTGTCCTCTTCTGTAAAATCTGAGTGTCCATGGCCACCACGTCCTGGCCTTGAAGTCCCGACCTATGCCCGTGGCACATCTGGCTGTGTGCGGCTTCTCCTCCACACCAAGGGGGCCACGGGCCAGCAGAGGGAAATTCAAGCAGCTGTGTTGCAAGCACTGAAGGCCTGCTCCTGCTTCGGGCCAGTGAAGCATGGAGCTGGAGTCTCTAGGGTATCAGTCTCGGCAGCTCAGCTCCTCCCAAGCAGCCAAAAATCCATCATGCAGCACATTCATCTTCCAGAGTCTGAAAAACGTAATGTGATCTGAAGCCTACAGCAGGGAAGCTGTAGACTCCGGGAGAGACCCAGGGTGGTGGCAGCTGCCTCCACAGGTCAGGTCAGGCTCAGACCTTTGTGTCCCTCAACACAGAAAGCAGTCAGGTCCTGATCAGGCCAGAGAAGGAACAGCCCCCTCATTCATTCAGCTGATGAGGGGCACCAGCCCTCACTCAAACTTGGATTCCTTGAACTGTAGGTTCAGGGCCTAAGGGATCACAATGTGAACCTGAGGCTGAGCCCCGATTCTGGAGCCTAGACCCTAACCACTTTTTCTAGAGGTTGCCCTCCTCTGGGTTGCCTTTAGTTCACTTGAGCAAATCAGCCTACACATTTGGCTCAATACCTCTCCAACCAATACCTCTCCGTCACAACAGGATAAAGCTTCAAAATAATAACAGCAGGAGAAGCTAGTTTACATTTACTATGTACCAGGCACCTTGCCAACTCAGTACATATTATTATCTCATTTGACCTTCATAATATCCTGACAAGTACTAGTATCCCCATTTTACAGATGGGGAAATAGAAGGACATAGAGGTTGAGCAATTTGCCCAAGGAGAAACAACTGGTAAGACTGGAGCCAGGATTCAGGTGTAGGCAGGCCAATTTTAAGCCCCTGCTCTGCACTGTAAAGCAGCAGACTCCCCTGCTGCAGGCCCCAATTTGTGACAGACCATAACTTGTCGTAGCCATTAATGGGGCCATCAGTCCTTTTCATTGCAGATTCCCATACTTGGCAGGTAAAGACTAGCTAATTTCACAGCTGGGAAAACTCTTAAGGCACTGAGACGGCATAATGTTTCTTATGCTAAAGACAAGAAATCCAGGACCAAAAAAAAAAGGTTTAGGACAAGGCACATAAACTTTCCTATATTCACCTTTGCCAGATAAACTCAAAAGGCCAGGGACCTGGCATTTCCCTGAGTAATTAGCAGTAAAAAGAAAAGCAACTGGTTTGTCTGAAGGGTCCCTTTTGATAAGTCTCTCAGTGAGCACTCCCTGGGTATGTTAAGCATTATGCTAAGTATTGTGGCCAGCATAGCTGATATTAATCCTTGCAGTAATGATTTGTTTAAAATATTCTTTATTACTTATTATTTTTATTACTTCCATTTTTTCGAGAGTGAGACTTAGGGGTAAAATAACTTGCCTTAGGCCATAAGATTATTGTGGTAAAACTCACTTCACTTGATGGTTTGTTGCCCAGCTATCTAGTGAGCTCTGTAAGGAACAGGCCACAGCTATCTTGCTATCTGCCATAACCCCAGAGCCTATGCCAACAGTAGATATCAATAAATATATCCTGAATAAGCACAGATCTTCAGACTAAATTAAATCCGGTGTCCTTTTCACTAGTTTAAAACTGCCTCTCCATGGCTTTATAGAACAAAGTTTTAAAGACTTTTCCTAAATTACTGCTCCCAATGAGTAAATAGTCTTTCAGTGTGATTAAGTCCCAAACTGATGCCCAACTGGATAGGAAAAATGTAAAAGAAAAAACATACAATGGAACTACATTTTCCATACAAAGCAAGCAAAACCAAACCAACACAAACTAAGTGTGTGCTAACCACAGTAAAGACCAGGCAAGAGAAGCTGATTTGTCCAGTGGCACATGTCTCCCAGAATTTTCTCCTGGTTTTTCCAGATAGCCAAAAGTTCTGCCTCTACTTCAGGATGCGGCACTGGAGAAGTGAAACCAGCATACCAAAAACCACGGCTTTTTCATCTTTGACTGCCTTGGAGTCAGGAGACCGGTGGTTTCCAGTTTGGCCTCTGAATCACCCACCTAATAAAGCAACTCTAATAGAAGCGAGAAATGTTTATTGTTTTTTTATTGGTGCCTACACCCACAGGGACAAGTGAGATACCCACACAGTGGGAAGGGGCGTGGGCAGCGATATCTTGTCCCTGACCTCCAGGTACTCACACCAATGCTGAAATAAGGCTACCTCCTCAAAGGGCTGTTGGGAGGGTTCAAGGAAGGTGATATATGTAGCAGTGCTCAGCACAATGTCTTGTACTTGGTGAACTATATTTAAGGAAAATTTTAAACAAAGGCTCAAGGAACAATTCATTTGGAAGAATAAATGTGTGAAGATAGCAAGATAATTCTGGAAAAGAGCACTGAAAGAATTCTGGCCCTCTGGGACAGCAAAATATGTTATAAAACCCCAGGGAGACGCTGGCCCAGGAACAGTCAGGCCATTCTCAGAAACACATCCTATGTGTGGAGATTCCATGTATGTGGTAAAGGCGGTGAGGAAATGACAAATTTTTCAATAGATGGTGCTAGGACAACTGGCTATCAATTCTGAAATAAAATAAGGCTGAAACTTTACATTTGACTCCTTGCATACAATAAGTACCACATGGATCAAAGATCTTAGGTAAAAATTAAAGTCTTATGAAGAAAATAAATATACTTTTTAAAAAGTAATATTGAAATGAGGAAAGCCTAAAATCAACATAAAACAGAACCTAAGGGGAAAAGATTTGATTAAAATAAAATAAAAAGGGCTCTTAAAAAAACAGAAACAGTGTACTAGAAAAATGGCAAAAAGTTCTACACAGTGAATTTACAGAAAAAGAACTACAAATGGCCAACATAGATTAAAAAGATATGAAACCTCAGGGAAATGTGGATAAAAGGATATATTTATCTTATATCAGACTGACAAAGGCTGGGCAGTTTGATAATTCTTGGTGGTGGTTAGGATGTGGGGAAACAGATACCTCAGTACCAGTGATGAGTACCTAGTGGTAGGTATAGCCCTGGAGAGGCCTGTTTGGCAATCTCTTACCAATTTTTAAATACTCATGCCCTTTGACTCAGCAATTTAACTTTTAGAAAATTATCCTACAGATATGCTACCCCCAAAATGCAAAGATACAGGTACAAGGATGTTCACTAACAATTTCTTTATATTACAAAAGACAGGAGACAAAGCTAGTGTCTAATATCAGAGTAATTGTTAAATTATGGCAAATGGTTAAGTAATAGAATACAATACAATCATTAAAAATGAAGTAGTTGAAGTAAACCATACTGTGTTGGTAAAGTACAAATGTCCAAGATTACTGTTAAGTGGAAAAAAAAACAAGTTGTAGATGAATAATGGAAAACGTATAAGCCTATTAAGCAATACACAGGTATAGATATGTTCCTGTCACTACATACAAAACAGAAGAAAAATACACAAAAGTAGTAAGCAACTGAGGCAGGGAGACTTTATCACTGTATACCGTTTCTTCTGTAAAATAATGAACATGTTATTATATTTCAAAGTTTTCTGTTAGGAAGAATAGTAGCTAGTGCTACCAAACAACTTCAGTCACCAAGTTGATAAAATAACATTTGTTTTAACATTCTCCCAAATTCATTTCCAGTCTTCTCCCTAGTCACAATGAGCCTTCTTCCCTGGTGTCATTCTGCTTAAAAAAATTAACCTTTCCATTTTCACTGATTCATTGGGGAGGCTGTGAATCACATGTCCCTGTGTCAGCCGACCCACACAGCCTCCAAGTATTAAGTGAACGTCTTCTGGACAAATAAGCAAAGCAGTCAGTTTCCCTGTCTTATTTTTAGTGACACCACTGACTTACACTTCGCATTTGCTAATTTTTCTAAGGAAGGCGAGCCCAATATGGAAACACCGGTATGTTCATCTCCTTGCTTGCATGTGGGAGCTCAGGCCCATGGAAGCAGGCCTGGCGGGCCCGGCAGACTCCATCCTCTTAGGAGCTGGAAGGGGCGCCATCCCTCTGCTCTCTTACCAGGACTTGCAGTGGTGCCTCCTGTCCAGGGTGACAATGCAGGAACGTGGCTGTATTCCCAGGAAATCTGAGAGGCAGTCCTGGCAGATGGCTCCATATATGTCAAATACCACTGTCCTCAAATGCCCTGGGACGTAAACTTCTCTGTTGAGATGTTAAATCAGAAGCATATGGAGCAGGGGACAGTTTCTATGGCAATTTGAATTTTTAAGCATAGTTTCTTTGGTTATTGTGGTGGCAGAGAACACAGGCACCTCTCATTTCTCAAATGATTCTCAGTGCCTGTAACGACAGCCTTCCAGTTCTCCAACTTTATTTCACTTAGAAGTGGGAATTTCGGGCATTCACCCCAACCTCCCATGGGCCTTTTTTCCATTTCATTCCACAGGTTCTATCCTGTATTTCCTGTTAACTTTTTTCTCCCAACTCATAATCCTGCCTCAGTCAAGTACTGGGACTTTGTGTTTTGGATTACTGTGAATCACAGCCGTGTGAACCTTGAGGGCTGGACTCAGCATGAACCACAAGACTGCAGTGATGGCCCTGCCCAGGTCATATCCTCAGGCTGAGCACTTACGAAGCTTTTCCTTTCAGCCCCAGTGCCCACCCCCCTCGACACTGGGCTGTGGCATTATGAGAGAGCCCTATCCTCCCCCTCAAGCTTCTAGGGTTGGGGTTCAAGTGTTCACCAGCCACTGTAGCC